GGCGGTAAATCGGCTGTGGGTGTTGCAATGGCTGCAGCCCTTCCCGCAGGTCGGGAAGCCAGGCAAAGCCGCTCCTGGCTGGGGAAGGCTGGAGGTGGGAGCAGATCCTGCAGATGGAGTAAAGAGGTGCCGGGAGCTTGGGCTGCTTACTGCTTTGGGGCGGAAAGAAGTTCCTGAAGACCATGGGTGTCACCTCCATCCCTTGATACCCTCCATCATGCGGTGTCTGCAGGAGGCTCTGCCCTTGTCCAAGGCTCAGGCGTTTCAGCTGGGACCCCTTTGGGGCAGGGGCTGGGGGGTGCCTGGCTGCACGTGTGTGTAGCCTGGCTGCCATGCTGACCCTCCTGGTCCCCAAATTGTTCCAGGCACCCTGGGCCCTGCTCCCCGCCGCACTCAGCCGCTGGCACTGGCTCAGACTCGTCCTGCAGCTCAGCCTCGAAGCTCTGCCAAGACCAGGAGGTCCCACAGAGGTGTTGTGATCTCTGCACCTGGTAGGGTTTAGAGGAAAACACTGAAAAACGAGCTTGTTCCAGGCCAAGCCAGGGGAACGAATGGATCTGGAGGGAGCAGTGAGAAAGAAGCAACGGACCGTGACTGGGCTGGGGGCAGGAGACTACAGCCCACAGCCCCGGAGGTCTCTTAGCACAAATCCTCTGCGTTTTCAATGCTGTGTTTGAGCCGGTCAACTTGTTTTCAGCCTGTTATGGATGAAATATCAACCTGTGTTTTACTGAGCAAACATCTTTGGCCAATACCCGGCTGTGGAGCGAAGCCCAGGAGCCGTCTGTCAGGGCAGAGGCACGTGGTGGGATCCAGCTCTGCCGCGGAACAGGAGTGACGTTGGCGTGGGGCGGCAGGGATGGAGGGGACGCAGCTGGAATGCTTCGTTCTGCTGCTGCTTGCATTTGCCAAGGGGGGGGGTCCTGCACCAGTGCAGGGTGCTTCCCCCCCTGTGTGGCTGCAGCAGCAGCTGATGGCGTCTCTCCCTGCATTAGATCACGATCTACGAGCTGGAGAATTTCCAGGGGAAGAAGTGCGAGCTGACGGAGGAGCTCCCCAGCATCACTGAGAAAGAGCTGGAGAAGGTGGGCTCCATCCAGGTGGAGTCTGGCCCGTAAGTCCAGGGTGCGGAGGACGGACAAGCCCCGGGCTGGGGGCGGGGCGGGACAGGGAGAGCATCCCCTGCATCCTGCTCATGGGGAGCAGTCCTGCCTCATGCTGGGGCGCTCCTCCCGTGCACGGGTGGCCATGCCATCCCCAACCCCCTGGTCCCGCAGGTGGCTGGGCTTCGAGCGGCAAGCCTTCGCTGGGGAGCAGTTTGTGCTGGAGAAGGGGGACTACCCACGCTGGGTGCCCCCCCAGCCACAACAGCGACAGCCTGATGTCCATCCGTCCCCTCCAGATCGTGAGTGCTGGCTGTGCTGGGGTGTCTGTGCCCCTGGGGACAAGCAGCGTGGCTGCAGCAATGGGGTCTGCCAGGCTGGGAGGGTCTTGGTGGGCTGGGGTCGCAAAGGGCAGCCCCTCACCCGTGCTTCCCCCTAGGACAGCCCCGACCACAAGATCCACCTCTTCGAGAACGCAGGCTACACGGGGCGAAAGATGGAAATCGTGGACGATGACGTCCCCAGCCTCTGGGCCCATGGCTTCCAGGACCGTGTGGCCAGCGTCAGGGCCCTGAATGGAACGTAAGGACGGTGGCACTGCGGGCACATGGGGACACCCCAACAAGATCCCGTCCCATGGCACCACGGGGTGGTGGCAGGGATGCCTGGCACAGCCACTACAGCAGGGACGGGGCAGCTGTCCCCACGATGCTGCTCATGCCCATCGTGTCCCCTGCCACCCTCCCCTGGCCCGCAGGGAGTGATGGGGACCAGGGCAGCATCCCTAGGGCTGTGTGATGGCTCCTTATCCTGTCCCAGATAGCGGGGCACCATTGCAGGAGTGGTGGAGCCGGCATGCCGTGGTCCATTCTCTGCCCTGGGCTGTCTGTCACCTCCCAGCATGATGGCATTTCCCACCCGAGCTCTGCAGCTGCAGCCTTGTTTTGGCAGCGATGCTTGGTGCCAACGGAGCAGTGGCCCTGGGCAGCGCCGCAGAGAATCGCATGGCTGCGGCAAGCAGAGTCACCAGCACTGCCGCGGCCTCTGGGGTGGTATGGGGATGCCGCCCTCCCACTCTGCCCCGAGAGGAGCCAGGGGGCAATGTGCCTACTGTGGGGGGCTGCAGCAGGGTGGCTGGACTGACGCTGGAGTGACCCCGGGGCACTGTTGAGCGCTGCCTCCATCCCCTGCAGGTGGGTGGGCTACGAGTACCCCGGGTACCGGGGCCGCCAGCACGTCTTCGAGAAGGGCGAGTACCGCCACTGGAACGAGTGGGACGCCAACCAGCCCCTCATCCAGTCCGTGCGCCGCGTGCGGGACCAGCAGTGGCACCAGCGGGGCTGCTTCGAGAACAGCTGAGGGATGCCCCAGCCGCACGCTGCCCCCACTGCCGCTCGTGCCGGGGGCTGGCTCACGTGATGCCGCCGGCTGATGCCGTGACCTTGGTGTTTTTTTGTGTAATAAACCTCAATAAAGCTCTGAGCTGGAGGCTGCTGGGAGCCTACCTGGTCTGGGGCCGGGGTTGTGCTTGGGGGGAGCGCAGCAAGTGGAGCCACAGTTCGGGGATGGTGGAACGTGGATGGGTGCCATGGCAGTTCCTCTAGCATCTCCTGCGCAGAGCAGAAGCAAGGAAAGAGCGAGTATTCACAGCGTCATATAAAGGCTGTAGCTTTCCAAAAACAACCCTCGGTGGTGCTGTGGCGTGGTGCTGGCGTTGGCCCGTGGTGCTGGCGTGGCTGGTGGTGTGGAGCAGTGTGGAGCCCTGTGCTGGGGAAAGCCCAGCCCCGGGGGGTGGTATGGGGCTCTTGCCAAGGGTTTTTCCTGTGACTCTGCTCCTTCTCAAAACATCTGCCTGGGCCAGGGAAGCTCTGCTCGTGGATCCTTCCCCACTTTCCCCAGACCTGCCTGCTCCGCTGCGGGAGGGTGTCCAGCCCAAAGGCCGTGGTGGTGGTTGGAGAGTCCTAGGGGACACGGGCAGCCTCAGGGGCGGTGAGCTTGGGGTGGTCCCGGGAGCAGTGGGGATGTGGAGAATGGCCATCCCTGGGCAATGCCAGGCCTCATGCACCCCAAAGGGCGACTCGCCCTGCAGGGCCAGGGCTGTGCCTGGCCCCAGCACCCTGCAGGGCCCCCAACCTGGTCTCGAGGAAACTTCCTACCAGCACCTGGGGTTGTTGCTCCCTGGGGATGATCTCTCTGACATGTGGGGCAGCTGTTTTTGTTGCAAAGGCAGGGGTTAAAGGCCCCTGTGGGCCATGTGCCCCAAGGATGCTGGCAGGGAGCTGGGCATCCCAGCACTGAGCAACCTCAGCCGCGCAGGCAGAGGTGCAGAGCACAGGCAGAGCCCTGGCATGGGGGCACAGCAGCCGGGGTCTGGCACCACCCAAGGCTGGTGACAGAGACGGGAGATGGGCTCGAGGCTGCCTGAGCACTTTGTGCCGGTCACCGAACAGCCACTCCAGAGCTTTTCTTTTTGGGCCTGGGTTTACAGCTATTAAAGGAGATTGCATGGCCCCGAGCAGCAAAAGCTGCTTCCAGGACAGTCCATGGGGCTGCCAGGGCCCCAGGTGGCGGTGGCTGCCTGTGGCATTGCCACTGCCCATGGCTGAGATGAGCTAAAACTGGCCCGGCAAAGCCAAGGGGAGGGAATCGCAGCCTGGCAGGAGCTGTGCCGAGCACAGTGTCTGCCACTCACTGGGGTGCACAAGGGGCTGGGATGTGCTGGATGGCAGCTGCGGGGACCTG